TTTTTTTTTTTTTTTTTTTTGTATTTTTTAGTAGAGACGGGGTTTCATCATGTTAGCCAGGATGGTCTCGATCTCCTGACCTTGTGATCCACCCGTCTCGGCCTCCCAAAGTGCTGGGATTACAGGCTTGAGCCACCACGTCCGGCCTGAAATAAATTTTTATGGCTTTTTGTGTGTTTGTTTAAAACACTGCTGATTTATTTTGTTTTGTTTTTCAGAGTCTGGAGAACTTTTTTCCTTTTGAGCTACTCATAGCTTTTAACAATTGAGTAAAGTCCTTTGAACAAAATTTGAGATGTATTTCTCTCTCTCTGCCTGATTTCTCCAGAATTCAACAACTATTTGTGAATATTCTTAATTCACAGCCATGTGGTTGCTTGCATAATTTCAATAAAAATCTGTTTTATTTTATAATAGGACACAGTTGGAAGAACTGGTTATTTTCCCAGGGCTTTGAATGGAATGGCATGTTTTCAGATATGAGCAGATTGCTTTGAGAAATTGACTTTATAGAGCCAATGAGAATCCGTTAGAAGGAGTGGCCTCATGCCTTGTCTATGCAGTTCCTTCACAGGGTTTCTGGCCTATGGTAAGTAGAGTGTCACTTTTTTTTTTTTTTTTTTTTTGAGATGGAGTCTCATTCTGTTATTCAGGCTGGGGTGCAGTGGTGTGATCTTGGCTCACTGCAACCTCTGCCTCCTGGATTCAAGTGATTCTCCTATCTCAGCCTCGTGAGTAGCTGGGATTATAGGCATGTGCAACAACACCCAGCTTTTTTTTTTTTTTTTTTGGATTTTTAGTAGAGACAGGGTTTTACCCTGTTGGCCAGGCTGGTCTTAAACTCCTGACCTCAAGTGATCTGCCCACCTCAGTCTCCCAAAGTGCTGGGATTTCAGGTGTGAGCCACCGCGCTGGCCTAGAGTGTCACTTTCTGACAGGCCCAGGAACTTTGAGTTGTTTTGAGGCCTCATGAAGTGAGGGATTTGCCCAACCCATGTAGGTATCTGCAGGTGCAGAGCATCCTTGGCTTGACTCAAGAGGCTATTGGAGGTTGAGCCTGAGATTCTTTGTGAGAGGTTCCAGCAAAGCCACTTTAGGGGATCTTATATTGACAGTGATTCTTGCTGCACTTTGTGTGGGTAATCAGGTCAAGTATAGTGGGACTGAAGCTTATTTTGCAGGTAGGTTGGTCCTGCTGTGATTCATCTTTGGTACAAATAGAGGACTTGAGAGAGAAAGATTTTGTTTCAAAAGAACACTCTAGTATTAGATTAACCTTTGACTGTTGGGTGGCCATGTGTTCACCTATGATATGGAGCTGCCTATGATAACTCTCCTCAGCATGAAGCAGCCACAGATATTGACAACCAGATTCCCCAGGATTGAGGAATTTACTAACATAAATATAAAAGAAGGAATGAAACTAGCCCAATTGTCCCACATAACTGACATTTATGGTTTCTTTGGAATAAACATAGAAATTGACCCTCACAATTTTAAAACTTGAGAAACTTACATTTGTCTTAATCTGAGTTGTTTTCTCAGGAAACCAACTATCAGTTCTCCCAAAGAGTATAAAGGAACTGAAGCTTACCAGATCACCACATTTGGATAATGAGACACCAGTCCCCTCACCCATCATGACTGCCTAACCAACCACCTGCTTCCTATTGACCAACTCCTCTACCTTACCCCTTCCTAATTCCTGTTTTCCCATACACAGTTACATTTCTTCCTTGCTACATGAACTCCTAATTTTAGTCAGTTGAGGAGATGGATATGAGACTGATCTCTCATCTCCTTGACTGTAGCACCTTAATAAAGCCTTCTTCCCTGACAATACTCATTGTCATAGTGATCAGCTTTCTGGGTGGCAAGCAACAGGTCCTAGACCAAACTCCTGGTGTTTCATTAACATTTCCAAAGACAGCTGAAAGGGATGTAAGGTGACTGTGGCAGTACCGGGGAACCAGCAGAAACAGCAGCTTTGTGGATATTCACAAGTAGCCCAACAGTCGCCACATAGAGCCAATAAGTACAAAACTGAAATCAGATTATTATTCAAACAAAGTTTCTATGTTTTCTATAGATCCATTGATACTTTTGGATATTTTTATGTTTACAATTGTGTCATTTGCAAATAATCAGAGTTTTATTTTTTCCTTTCCAATCATTATAAACTTTATTTGTTTTTTGTGCCTTTTTGACTGGCTAGGATCTTCAGAACAATGTTAAATAAAAGTGGTGTTCCCAATTTTAGGGGGAATGTTTTAAATATTTTGCCATTGAGCATAATATTTCCTGTAGACTTTTACAAATAGATAACTCTCCATAAGATTAGGGAAATTCCTCCTGTTTCTGGGTTGCTAGAGGAGGTTCTCTTTTTTTCTTGAGTAAAAAACTGTGACTGCATATTGAATTTTATCAAATTATTTTCCTATGTCTGTTAAAATTATTCTATTTTTGTTCAGCAAATATAATGAAGTACATTAATTTGACTTTAGATGTTAATTTTTGCAATATTGGAACAAATTTAACATTGGCTTGTGTTTTTGCTTTCCTGTAACATCTTTGTCAAGTTTTGTTATTAAGGTGATACTGACCTAATAGGAAAAGTAGGAAGTGTTCACTCTTTTTCAATTTGCTGGGAGAGTTTGGTAGGGTTGGTGTTATTTCTTTCTTAAATATCTGGAGAAACTGCCTGGTGAAGCCATTTCAGCCCAGATATTTCTTTGTGAAATGTCTTTGAATTACACAATTTCATTATTTGTTGTAGTATTGTTCAGGCTTTCTATTTCTTCCTGTGTCTTTTATGGTAAATTATTTCATGGTAAATTTTCAAAAATTACTTGGATTACTTTCTAACTACCTTTCACTCATACTACAAGGTAGTTGTGTTATTCCTTTGAAATAAAGTAGGATCATTTTATTCTGTCTCTATTTAGAGTTGCCATGTCATTCGATTTTTGATGTGTGTGTGTGTATTTCCTTTTTTTGAGGAAATGAAATATTAATATGGTTCTGAATGTTAGATTCATGTAAAAAGGTCTTTCAAAGAAAGGACTTCTCCAAGTCCTTCTATCCTATTCCCACCACTCTATCCCACTATACCTTTCTTATTCCCTTTTTTTTTGTTACACAAAAGGTAGCATATTTCGTTTTTTCAATTTGATTATTCTACTTAATATATTCTAAAAATCATTTCATATTAGTTGATAGAGATCTCCCTCTTCCTTTTCTATAGCTGCTCAGCACTCCATTTTGTGGATGTGACAAGTCTACATGACCATTCTCCCATGTATGAGCTTTTTGTGTAGTTCAACTATTTTTCAGTTACAAACAATGTTGCAATGTGTTTTTGTATTGTAAAAAGTGTATCCTAAGGATAATTTTCTGAAAATGGGATTGCTGGGTCAAAAGGTATTAATGAATTTATGTGTAGTTTTGTTATAAATTTCCACATTTCCTTGGAAAAGGATTGTACTCATTTGTACTCCCACTAAAAATGTATGAGTGTACCTGTCTTGTCACAGTTGTCCCAACAGAATGTATTATAACACATTTTAGTTTTTGTCAGTCTGATTGGTCATAAATGGTATCTGTGTGATCGTTGTCTTTTTTTCCTAATTATGAATAAGATTGAATATCTTCTCCCAAGTTTAAGGGCCACATTTTAGGCCATCTTTGTATTGCTATATAGGAATACCTAAGGTGGGTAATTTATTTTAAAATGAGGATTAATTGGTTTGTGGTTCTGCAGACTGTACAAGCATTGCACTAATATCTGCTCAGTTTTCTGAGGTAAGGGCCTCAGGAAGCTTATAATCATGATAGAAGGTGATGGTGAGACATCATGTCACATGGCAATGGCAGAAGCAAGAGAGAGAGAAGGAAGAGATCCCAGCATCTTTTAAACACTTGGATTTCACATGAACTGACTGAGCAAGAACTCACTCATCACCAAGGGGATGGTTCTAAGCCATTCATGAGGGATCCACCTCTGCGATCCAGTCACCTCCCACCAGGGCCCACCTCCAACACTGGGGATCATGTTTCAATGTGAGATTTGGAAGAGACAAACATCCAAACCATATCAGGCCATGTGTACATATTTTGTTTATGTAAATTGACTATGTATTTTGCCCATTAATTTAAGAAAGTTTTTAGTCTTTTTTGCCTCAATTTTGAACAGTTCTTTATATATCAGGGATATCAGCGTTTTGTGTTCTGTTGCAAATATTTTCTCCCAGTTTGTCAGAGAACTTTTGACTTTGTTTATAGGTAGGTTTTTTCTTGCCATGTAGTTTTTTTTAAAGCTTTTTTTGAAATCCAAGTTATTGATTTTTTAAAATTACAACTGGATTTTAGGTCATAGAAAGTTTTCCTTTCTACATGCTATAGAGAAATTTACTCATTTTTTTTTTTTTTTGTAGCGTTTGTATGGCTTTATATTTTTTACATGTAGGTCTCCAATCCTTTTGGAGCTTGTTCCTGTGTTTGATGTGATACAAAGATATACTTTTATCAGTTGTCCCAGCAATATTATTAAGGTGATGGGCTAAAAAGTTCATCTTTGCCCCAGTGATTTGAGATGCTACCTTTACCATATATTAAATTTCCATGTGTACTTGGGTCTATGTCTTAACTTTCTATTCTAATACTGGTATGTTTGTCTATTCATGTGCCAATTCCTCAGTGCTTAATTGTAGAGGTTAATGGTATGTTTCTTTTCTTTTCTTTTTATTTATTTATTTATTTTTAGATGGAGTTTCGCTCTTGTTGCCCAGGCTGGAGTGCAACGGCACGATCTTGGCTGACTGCAACCTCCGCCTCCCGGGTTCCAGTGATTCTCCTGCCTCAGCCTCCTGAGTAGCTGGGATTACAGGCGCCCACCATTACGCCCAACTAAATTTTTTTGTATTTTTATTAGAGATGGGGTTTTACCATGTTGGCCAGGCTGGTCTTGAACTCCTGACCTCAGATGGTCCACCCACCTCAGCCTCCCAAGGAATTACAGGCATGAGCCACCACATCCTGCCGGTATGTTTCAATGAGCTTCTTTTTAATATTAAAATTGGTCATTTGATTCATTTGTTATTACTTTTCCTAGATTATCTAAGCGCTCTGTTGTAGGGGAGTAGGGGCAAGTTGGCTGTTAATCAAACCTAAATATTCTGGTCATGCTTCCAAACACTAGGTGAAGATAAATTCAGGAAGTCCAATTATGTGCCAGATATTTGCTGCTGTGTTTTGGGCAAAGGTCAGATGACATTTCTGAAAAGGTGCCTCTGCAATTCCAGTGTCTTTGTGACCTGCTGCAGTGATGTTGCTGGTGGTCTACAGACTGTGTTAGCCCTAGGGTTTCCTTAAAATAATGCAGTTTTGTTTTGCTGGAAGTGTTTCTTCAGGTGAAATTAACAGAAGTGAGATTCTTGGCTCAAAAGGTACATGAGTATGTAATTTCATTGCTATTGCCAAATTCTCTTCTAAATTATTATAATTATACTAGTTGGCATTCTTACCAGCAATGGATAAGAGCTCTTGTTTTCCCACAGCTTTGCCAACAAAATACGCTGTCCTACACTTTTTAATTTTTGCCAGTCTGATGGGGGAGAAATGGCAACACTTGGCTGCAGTATTTTGCCCTCTGTAGATGCAGGATTGGGCAGCCGGGCTTCCACCCCAGAACACCCCAGTGCAAGTGCATTATGCCACACTTGCTTCACCACCTGAAGCATCCCTGCAAGAGGCCCTTTGTGTCATCTTCTGGTAGCAAATCTCAGGCAGGAATATTCCAGCCCAACAGAAAGTATCTTGTAATGACCTCAAAAGGCAAGTGATCATAGTCTTCATTCCAGTTCTCCCAAGGATTGATTTCTTTGCAAAATTGCTTAACTTCTACTCACCTACCAGTTCACAAACCAAGAAGTACCAAAAGGGGAAGACATAATAAAGCACACAAGCTCCTGATACACCCTTGTACCAGGGAAATGACTTGACTTTCCTTGACAGAAATAAGAAGGGCTATTTCCTGACTTTTTCAAGACATCTCTGTATACTAGGAGAAACAGCAACTACAATAACATTAAAATGTTGTTCCAATTTACTGATTATTCTACTGGTCCAAAAGATGCCACTTGTAGAAATCCTTTTCCAGCAGCAAGTGCCAGAGAATGTCCCAGAAGGGGGGTGCCTCTAAGTTAAGTACTACCCTCTAAGTGAGATCTATGGATATCTCCCAAGCAGTCTGGGGAATGGAGTGTCTAATTATGAAATCACTGGCTGATGTTGGAGGAAATGATGGAACTTCTGAGAAATTGGGTGACATGGCCTTTGCTAATATCTGCCCTCAATGTATTTAACGCAGAGATCTGCCAGTTAACACAGAGTGAGCTTTTCACCCACACCCTACCTCAAGGCTCTGGGACCTCAGATGTTCAGATGTTCCTCTCTTCAATGAGAGAGCAAGGGAGACTTTGTTTCCTGCTAGTTGTGGCATCTTTCCTTCTCCCCATCCTACTCAGCCAGTTCCAGATCCCTGGCAGCCCTGTGTGAGCTCACTTATTTTAACCCTCTCATGCCCTGCCTGGTCACCTTCCCCAATCTTGCAAGATGCTGAGGGATCAAAGCAGTATACATCTTCTTCTATACACAGAGACTTCTGGAATGGACTCCCCCACCTAGCAAGTGAATAGCTTCCTGGGAGACTTTTTAATAATTAAAATAGTGGAGCAGAGAGGAAGGGAGGAAGACAGGGAAGTGGGAGGCTTATAGGATATAGCATGCTATAAAACCTTCTAAATTCACTGGTGACCAGGCATAGTGGCAACTTGCCTAGTCGATTTCCATTCCAATCAGTTCTTTATTACTAAGTTGAGTATCCAGTTGATAGATGAGCTGAGACCTTTAAATCATCCAAATTCTTGCCACCTGTGAAAGTTTTGTAGTCTGGCAAAAGGAACAATAAAACCAGTAACAAAACTGAGTAATTTAAATTGTTTAGACATTTTCATTATCCCCATGTCTACTCTCAAATAGCTGTGTCTGGTGTATGTTAAATGATTATGCAAATGTAAAGTATAAAACTAACCAGCTAATTTTTTTGTACACGGTTTGAATCCCACAGATTAATAGCCCAATTTCTCAAATAATAAAATACCAACACACATAAGCTAAGTACCTGGCACATAGTAACCACTCAAGTGATTTTTGGAAGAGCTAGAATTTTGTGAAAAATTTTATGTGTAATTTCATACATGCCTTTTCTGGGGAGAGAGTTTATCATTATTTTCAATGAACTATCACTCTGCTATCCCCACCCCAAAGGATAGCAACAACCAGGTTAGAGTATGGTATTATTTTAAATCTGTGTTCAATGTTACACATGTATTACAGTAATAGACCTTTCATTATATAATCTCATACTTAGTTGCTAAGTATATATAACATGGTCTTTGCCATAATTATTAGTGACTATTCAAAACACTGAAAACAAAGATATAAGCAAATGTTAATTTAGTACATTATTAATGTTCTTGAGTGTTATTATCTATTTAGCTTGAAAACATTTTTTATCCATTTTTTCTTGCCAATAAACAGTTTTCTTTTCTTAATGGTGTTACCTTCTAAGAATATTTACTTTAGAAAAAATATAAATTTTTGCAAGTATGAACCACAAAAGATGTTTAACATTTAAGAGTTTTTATGAATCATTAAACTGTTGGCAAGTACTAAGCCTATTACCATAAAATTCAGATCTTTTAGTACATAAAGTACTTATTAATTTGAAAACCAAGCTATTAAAGTAAGACAAATATGGAAATGAATTATGAGATACCTATAGGAGTTTTAGGGAAATGAATTATGAGGTACCTATAATGACAGGCAAGATAAAGAGAAGAAACATGACAAAAATCTAAAGAATGAGTGAATGTTTGACATAATACAGCTCAAGGCCATATAAATTACTTCCACCCAGAATTATTAACTTAAATTCCAAGACCTCAAGCAAAATGTCGTAAAGCAGGAAAATACATGAAGTGCCTCTCTGGACTTCATTTGATCCACAAAGAAGGACTTGGTGACACCATGGGAGTGACAGAAACAGGGAAAAGTGGCCATGTCATCTTGGAGTTCACAAAAATAAGAGAGTGCAGTGCTGGACATTTCTGGACATACATTACAGACTAACTTCAGAAAGTTCTAGGGAGAATCAGTATATCCCAACAGCCAGAGGCACAAAGGACAAAAATGACTCATGAAGATCAAAGATCCTGAGAAATGAAATTCTGACCATATTTTAAAACAACTCAAAGAGATGAGGTTGTGGGATGCGAGGGATGGACATCAGGAGAAGCTGGCATGGCTGTATAGGCAGCTCCCTAACAAGGCCAGGATTTTAAAAGACCTAAGTCAAAGATGGAGGAAAGCAAGGAAAAGCAAAGGCAAGAGCAAACAGCAGTGCAGACTGTTCAGAATAGTGTCAGGGAAGTGAAAAATCAAAGTAAGCAGAGACTTGAATTAAGAAAGAGAAAAAAAGTTATCAGCCTAAAAATAACAACACTTGATAAATGTCAAGTTATGCAAACCATGAAGTATATATTATTATTTCCTTTATTTTATAGAGGAGAAAATTAAGGGGAAAAGAGGCAATGTAGCTTCTGTGATATCATATAATGTGTAAATAGTGCAGCAGAGATTTCAAACAAGAACTTCTGTTCCCTACTCGTATCTCCTTGCATGTGGAGGAACATCCTTTAACCTGGCCTTCTTCATCTCTCTCATCCTTCTACTGTGATGATAAAGGAGCAAATACCTGATTGATAAGTTTGGAAGGAGAATTTATACTAACCAGCCCCTTCCTCCTTCTCTCTTGAGAGAGAGGTGCCCCAGCAAGCACATGTCCTTAGATGCTCTCAACCTTGAGATAACTTAGAGGTTAAGGCCTTGCCTCCTGGGAGAAGATCTGCAATAGCCCAGAGATGCCTGTGACTGTCTGGGAAGGTCTGTCAAATCCTGGGGTGCAGCTCCAGCTCACTAGCTCCCAGACATGTCAAATACTCCAACATCAGCTCTATCAGTCATGCAGATATGTTTTGTTTCCCATCAGCCTCAACTTTATGGGCTCTATTTCTTATTTGGTTCCAAATACAGTTTCTCAAAGACTTCAACAATCCCCTTTTTAATCTGACCTCAAGCCTGAGCTCCTAACCACTAAGCAATACCACTTTGCTATGTCTTGTGTAAGATGGATTATGGCTTACAGATAACAGAGGTAACTACCAGGTTACTTTGTGACTACCTTTTCCAGAAAATTGAATATTTTTTTCTAAATTAGGAATGGCGAAATATGATTAAGGGAAAACTGAAAATCAAGACAAGAGATGGAAGAATAAAACACCCTGTAAATTCTTTGAATAAAGTCAAGTTCTCAGACCCAGAAAATGATATTGCAGCCTTAGGTAACCACTTACGAGTCATTGTCAGTCACAGTGGAGAAATCATGGAGTATTGGAAAACGTCTCCAGAAGACTGGAGATGGGAAAGTGCCCTCAGTCTTAGTCAAAAACCTTAGTCAAAAGGCTAAGCAATGGTAATCTCAGAAATTACAACCCCCTAAACATCAACCCCCCCAGAAACCTATAGAACAGGTCTATGAGAAAATAATATACTGAAAAACTATAGTTAAGATGAGTCCACTAAAAAAATGTAAATTCATTCTATTAACATTTCAAATATGTTTTTTCATGCATTTATCAAGAAGTACTAAAAACTCATTCTATTAACATTTCAAATACATGTTTTCATGCATTTATCAAGAAGTACTAAAAAATATAGCATATTTTATTCTATAAAATATGTTCTATAAAATATGAGTTTATTCTATAAACTGAAGGGTCCAACTCAGTCTGACAGCAATTAAAATTTTTTCTCCTTGTTGGAGAAATCAATTTGCATAAGAATAAGAGGTTCTTCCCCCAGGCATCTTCCCCACCCAGGACTTCTGCTTTTTTTTTCCTTTTCTGCACTCTGTCAGCACTTAACACAGCCCTACACTTAAGTCTTTTTTTCTTTTCTCCACCCTGTCAGGAGTTAACTTATAAGCAAGGAGTTTTCCTTTCTTGAAAGGCATCAGACTAGGACCTCAATTCACAGGACATTTGTTTCCCCTCCCTTGTTTGAGAAGGACCCAGTGCCTCAGTTTCACCTTAGCATTTGGCTTATGATAAGGAGGCAACAGCCAGTCTGGCGAGGGACACCTGGGGCTTGATGAGTCTATGCACTCCCTAAGGCAGTTATTTTGTTCCAACTGAATTCCAAGCTTCGGTCAAAGCCCTAGGAAAGAAAACTGAATCTGAGGGATCCAGAGGCAGATGACAATAGAAGTTAAAAGGCACAGCACAAATGAGCATGACTAATTCTTGCCAATTAAGCCAAGCCTCCCATTTAATGGATAAAGGTCATGCTAGTATCCATGGCATAAGTGAGGTCTAGAGAACTCAAAGGCTACTGACACCAGAGGGAAAGGCAGCACATGGGTAAGAGCAGATATTCCCACCTTCTAGCCTCCCCCAACATTAGCATGGGTGAAATATTGGCACCCATGGGCAGCACCCTGTTGAGGTTGCTGGGACTCGGGAATATAAGGATGAAAAAAGGAAAGAAGATGCTTTCTCCTTCTCTCCCTCATGTACCCTTGGTATTTGCTAGGAAGATAAAGGAACCAGAGATGCCTAGCTCCCCTCTCTCTAGATGAGTAGCCATTCATGTTCAGTCTGTCCCCCATTTGAATGCATCCTGAACCCCTGGGGCTCCTTTGAAAACAAAAACCTTCTTTGTCCCTTTTTCCTCCATGATCCTCTCTTCACAGATGGATAATTGTGTTTCTGTATTCCAGGACACTCCCCTCAGATGCATCCTCCAAACTGAGAAAAACTGATTTCCCAAAACTTAAACTGGTTGGCTTAGAATTGAGGTCAGGGGAAGGGAATCCAGAAGCCTGACATGCTGGCAAAAGGGTAAAAAAAAATTTTTTTTTTTTTTAACTAGTTGGACTTTTATCTTCTCTCTCTCTGTGCAAACTTGTACAAGTAATGATAAGGATCACTCTTTATATTCTCTGTAAAGTTTTGATTAATGAAAAACAATTTATGAGGTTGGTCTTAAGCTCTAGCCAATCTGGTATGCTTTGTGTGTCTTAATTGAGGCTTGTTGGTTTCACTTGTGAGGTCACTTTTGGTAAAGTTCAAAAGCCAGAAATATTGACTGCTTGGTATTGCCAAAGTTAATAAGGAATTTAAAAAGAATTTAAATTTCAAAATTTAAAATTCTTAAAGAGCATGCAACTTAATTAAAAGTGAATATCCAAGTTATAGGTATATTTAAAAGGCCTTGTTTTTCTCTTCTTGGATCTTGTTTTGCTGGAAAAAGGTTTTTTGTCAGTCGACTGAATTGCTTTTCTCCTCTTTGTCTTGCCAGTCAATGCACGCATAGTAGGCCCTACAATAACTTATAATGCCATAGGACTCCCTGGGAAAAACAGAAAAGGTGCCACAGATTCCATTTTAGGAGAAACCTCTGTTTTCTTTATGGAACCCCAGGAATTAGAGGCAGATAGATCCCTCTCAAAATCTGTTTTTGTCTGCCAGCTATGCCTGTTTATTAGGCCATAGAAACTGCATGCTTTCCTAGTCCTGCTCTTAAAGGGCCCCATCCAGAGACCAATAATTCAGTTAGGAGATTGGCAAACAAAAAATTTTATAGCTACTGGATCTTCTTCTATCTGTGTAGTTATATAGGTGTTGTGTGTGATGTCTATAATAAAAAAAAGCTCTAATTAATTGTCCTAAAGAAAAATAAGTGATTAGATCAAATATTTTGTGAGGGAAAAATAAAAGCTGTAGCACCTTTTACTTCATATGACTTTAATCTTTGAGAAATAAAAACAGTCTTAATGATTATTGGTAAAATGCAAATGTTGTTAAAATGTAAATAGGTGGTCTAAATTATACAGGTCAGATACTAGGTTTGCTAAATGTTGTAAGGTTATAAATTGCTTATTTAGCTGTTGAGGACTGTCCCACTTGCCATCCTCACAGTTGGTAAGGCCTGGGTACATATGGAATTAACCATACCCTTAACTATGCTGGAAGAAGTCAGACTTTATTAATGCCTAGTGCATAACTAAAACAACTTGCCAAATCTTACATTAAAGTTAAAAATTGGTAAGAGGTACCATTATAATATGTAATTGAGACTGCTGAAAATACATTTACATGCAAAGTGTGTAAGAACAGTAAAATGTGTTTTTAGTAAAAGATTATAGGGCAGCACAGAAATGTAAATTTTTGCCTAGGGTTAAAGGATTGTTTTAAATTAGGTAAGAGGAAGCTAAAGGTTTAAAAAAGTTATGGAAAGTTTCTAAAAATTAATTTTGCAAAAGAAATTCTGTGTGTGAACATTTACTAAATTCAAAAGGGTATTATATGGTTTCTCTGTAAATTGATCAATGAAATAAAAGCACAACAAGGTTTTCTTAAGTTACTAATCTGCCCTTTAGCAAAATTTGTAAAGGGTTATAAAAGATTTATATGAATCTCACCTAATGGTCAAACTGGTTAAGACTGGATAGAATTGTCCATAAGGTTTCATTTAGAAAATTGGGTTGACACTAATAGTAAACTAATGTAAGGGTAAAAGTTGACTTTCTCTCACTCATACAAGATTTTAATGTAATAGTAAAGAATAATGAAAGATTTACATTTGCCTTGCAGATAGACTCCTAAGGAAATGAAAGAGAAGACAGGAGACAAATTGTTTGGAAAAGCTAAGTCTTCCCTCTTAATGAGCAAAGGTTTTTACCTGGTTTAAAAATTTTTGTGACATTATTTTGGCAAAATAACTAACTGATGGTAATCTGGAATTCTGTTTCATAGCATCAAGTGTTTTAATCCACTAACATATTTAATAGGCTTCTCAAAATCAAATTTTGGCTTCAAGGTTGTCCTTCCTGATCCCTAGTTTTTGGATGCTACAGAGGGCCCTTGAAGCATCCAAAGAGGGTAAAAAGGATTACCTGATGTCTTTAGGTATATGGGATTGCCAAAATGATGTTTAATCTTCAGGTTATATTTTAGTGAGTAATAATAATATCTGTTCCAAAATAGTATAGGATTTAAAAAATTCTAATGTCTGAGTATTTGTTATCAGTCACAATTAAGGTTGTTATATTTGGTCATACAGAGATAACCAAATTTCTTTGTCAATTATGTTTTTGACTGTAACTACCCTGGAAATTTTGTTATCCATAGACAATTGTTGTCCTGTTTTGATCCTCTTTAAAAGTGGTTTATAATAAGCTATAGAACTTTGACAGGTGCTCTCAAATGCAGGTTTCTGATAACTTTGTAAATTGTGACATTGGAATAAAGGAAAAACATACAGGACTCATGAAGAACTGAAATGTTTAGAAATATCAATACAAGAGTTAACTGAATTGACTAAACTAATAGAAAACTGAAGTAATCTTTTTTTAAACTTTTGCTTAAAACATTGCTGATCTTTGTTTTGTTTTTCAGAGTCAAGGAAACTTTTATTTTGAGCTATTTACAGTCTTTAATAATTGAGTAAGGTAGACTCCTGTGAACAAAATTTGGAGCATGTTTGTTTCTCTTTGCATGGTTCCTATAGAATTTGGAAACTATCTGTGAGTATTCTTATGACAATATAGTTATTTTCATCAGTGCAATAAGAATCTATTTTCTTTTGCAATAGGATGCAATTGGAGAAGCTGGTTGTTTTACCAAGGCTTTGACTGGAAGGGTATACTTCCCTTTAAGGAATCAAGCTCGACTTGCAAAGCTGATAAAAGCCCCTTGGGGAAACCGGCCTCATACCTTGTCTACACAGTCCCCGTACAAGGTTATTAATCTGTAGTGAGTGAAGAATGTCACTTTCTAATAGGCCCAAAAACCGCATATTCTTGGGATCCCAAGAGGAGAATAATTCACTCAACTCATAGGAATTTGAGGGTACAAACCCCTGGCTGGTCTTAGTTTTTAAAAGTCCTATCTGAGATTCCTTGTGGAACAAAGTTCTATCAAAGCCAATTTTAAAAGACTGTAAAAGTAATTATTCTTGCTGCACTTTATGCAAGTAATAAGGCCAAGTATAAGACTAAAGTTTATTTTGCAAACAACTCAGTACTATTATAATTTGTTTTTAACAAAAATGAGGACTGAGAAATTATGTTTCAAGACTTACTATGCATTTGTCATTAAATTGTAGACTCATTAGTTGTTGTTAAGTTTTTCACCTACATTTTAAACTAACCCTGCTTATTCCCGTGAACCAACCAGCAATCTCCAACTGCAGCCCAGAAGAAACAAAAAGAGATGGGTAGTATAAAAATCTGGATCAATATTCTAGTTCCGGGCAATTATCCTGCAATTCCTGCCAGGTGATGGAGGTGAATGGGGCGCCCATAACCTGGAGGTTTCTTGTTTTGGGAAAATAAGACCAAGGGAGCTCACCAAAGCCAAGCCCCATGCACCCAAATCTTAGCAGGCAAAACTATAGCCACCAGTTACCTGGGCATGCTGGTAGCCTTGGAATTTTTGAGCTGTCCTTACCTTTACCTTTTGTTTTGTTTTGATACATGTCTTCTAATAACCTGGTGTCTCTTCTTGCCTTTAGGCCATTGAACTCCAAACAATCATGCAACCAGAGCCTCAAATGATGGCCCCCTTTCACCAGGGACCCTTAGATAGGCCTCTGAGGGAGAGCTGACTGCTGTTATTCAAAAACAGCACCCCCTGTCAGCAGAAAGCAATTAAGATCAATCGTCATCCTTATCCTTATTCTAACGGCTGTTAGATGTACTTCTTTAGATGGGGGAATGATAGAGGCAGCAGAAAGCAGTTAAGATCAATCATCGTCCTTATCCTTATTCTAACGGCTGTTAGATGTACTTCTTCAAACAGGGGAATGATAGAGACAGCCAAATGCCTAGGCAGATAAGGAAGAGTACCCAGAGAACCTCCGACCCTCCACGTCATTGTGCACAGGGGGCTTGCCTAACCATACCTACGGTGAAAACTTCTGTCCCTTAACACATGTGCAGTAAGGGAAATAAATCAATGTGGAGTGGCTCAGACTAAGGGCCCACATGAACACTGGAAGAATGGGGTGGAGCCACCAGGAATCCGCACCTTATGCAGGGAAGGGACATGGCCTCTTCAGCTTGTGTGTAGTGGCCTGGTATTCAATTTGTGAGGTAGAAACCTGCGTGCAGGACCCCTCTTTTTTATGGAGAGCTTTCCTTTCACCAATAAACTCTGCCCTCTTCACCTTTCAATGTGTTCACCTGCCTAATTTTTCCTAGTTATAAGCTAAGAACCCAGATTTGGCTGAACTAAAGAGCAAATAAATCACCAGACTCTGATTGTGCTACTTTGCATATGTTATGACATGCATGGATAAATTTCTGTGAGAATTGCCATGGTAGGGTATTCATTAGCAGCTGGAAGGATGGTATTGATCAGTGGTTATCAAACTTTAGTATGAAGGACTTGTTAAAACATAGATTGCTAGGTCCCATTTCCAGAGATTCTGATTTAGTAGGTCTACAGAGGATCCCAAGAATTTGCATTATTAACAAGTTCTCAGGTGATACTGATGCTGCTGGTCCAGAGGCCACACTTTGAGAACCACTGGTCTAGATTATCTCCAACTTTCATTCTAATGCTAAGATTCTGTGTTTCAATAATCATCTTAACTTTTTTTCATGAGAGACAGATCTCTACTCTCTTGGGTCAAGACTTTAACATAGGAAATTAAAAAAAAATCATATCACTGAGGAATATAGTTTAATCACTTAAGCCACTATATCTACTTTTCCCTCACTTCTTTCTTAAAATGCTGTTTTTCCCCCTTTTAAAAAAAATTCTGGGTTTTCCCTTTTTTAAACAGTTAAAATGCTTTATTTTATAACTGGTTAGAGGAAAAACCAAACTACTTTTTCTTTGCCTCATTTCTTCATCATTATACAATTTTGGACACTGTTATTATTGTTATCTCCCAGGAAATTACATTGGAAAAACATACTTAATGCTATAAAGTAAATGATCAGTATTATGTAATGAGAATATTGTTACAGTGTTTTAAAACTCTGGAAAGATGAATTTTTTGGCTTAAGGTGAACATGGGAGTGGGTGTTTGTTGATAAAAAGATGGTGTGTGTGTGGGTATGTGTGTGTACATTCCACAAAAGTGTAACGTTTCATCCTTAGTTGCTTCAGATTACTTTACCATACTATTTTTTATAACATTTTCATTATTTGGATTACAGCACCCCAGGGGTCTTTAGCTATTCCAAGAGGTGTCATGCAATTCTGAAAATTTCCTCAGAATAACATTTTAAGTTACTTCAATTGAAAAAAATAAATATTTGCTATACAGACATTTTCTAGTCTGGTAAAAGAGACAAAGATAAATGTTCACACTTGAAATATACAAAATATCTGGACATTGCTTATAGGGTATTCAAACTTCTATTCAATGCTAGTTCCCAAATGAATTACAAAGTGTCCTATACCAGCATCTTGGCATCTAAATCAACATAAAACATCTGACACATTTTGAAATGAAAAAAGAGATTCACATTTTCAAGCAGTTCTCAATTATCTCATTAATAGATCATCTGAAATAGCTGAAAGCCCTAATAATTATTTTTCTTTAATTTGAGACTGTGTTTTTGTACTTACAGGTGAAGAACTGTTTTCCTGATGTCCTAAGAATTTTATTCCATTAATGTTATAGGTGCCACTAGAGGAGCTGGAAGGTGTTCCTGGGCTTTTGCAAAAGAAAGCTTTCTTCTCAAATCAATGCAAAATCTCTTCTAACTATCCCAGAGCTGGGGGGAGGAAGCAGAGAGTATGTGGATTTGAAAGCACTTCTCGACCTTCAGGTAAAAAGAAATAGCTTAGATATTAACATTATAATTACACCAATTAGATGCTAACTTTATTTGATTTTCAAAAATAATCAGGCCCCTGCTAATTGTGTGTATACAGAAAGAAATGAGAGTCCGTATTCTTTGTAAACACTAAGTACACTTTTTTGTTCTCTATCAATGAGCAATAGGCAGCATGTGGATCTCAGATACTGAAGACAGGGCATATGGGCTGATTAAATGGGGTGTTAGGAAAGATCTGAATTCAGGTTAGCACTGCCAGCCCTCTGTTCCTCCAGTCCACTCCCTGTAACTAGCTCCCACTGACTTCATCATGGCCACCCAATTTCTTCCTACTCCAGTGTTTCTCAACCCTTTAAACCAATGCTAACTTTTCATAAATATAAACATCTTATTCACACTTTCCCCAGAAATTTAAACACATTCCTTAGGACTAGGGGAGTAGAAACTTCAGTTAGGAATCTCTGTATTTTCTTTGTAACCCAGCAGCAAAAACAATGTGGTTGTGTTTTGTTTTCTGGAATTGCCATTATAAAAATAATAGTTTTATTATGTTTTTATAAATAAAACTAAATTATAAAATTGAACATGTCTTCTCAAATTTTTCACCTGCCTCTAACCATCCCTCCACTTCCCAGAGATTCTAGTATTTCTCTAAGAGCCCATTCCTCAAGTTAAAAATTATTGCTCTAATTTCTACATCATGACCGGGACCTACTGTATAACTTGTGGGGCCTAGTTCAAAATGAATATGCAAGGTCCCTGTTCAAAAATTATTAAGGATTTCAAGATGGCTACAGTGGAGGATTAAACCAAGGCTGGGACCTTTCTAAGCTTGGAGTCCTGGGTGACTGCACAGAATACATGCCACAAAGCTGTCCCTGATCGTGACTTTTTAGCTTCTGCTATTCCTCTGATTGACTTTCTCTGTGTGTTTCCTGATTCCCAAGAGCAAGGATCTGATTGGCTAAGATAAGCATTTCATTCCAGAAGTTTTACTGGTTGCTGGCAGGCATATTCATTGGAGAGGTCCCTTGGTCAGTCAACTATGTCAGAACCAAGCAGTTGTGTGTGATCAAGGTGGGGGATTTAAATGGGAGTAGATAATGGGTCTACTACTACAGTACATGGTCACCAATGTAGCCACGATAGTGGACAGGGCAGTTTTCTTAGGGGTGGACATGGGTAGACAGGCAATCACTGACGCTGAATACACAATATAAATATATGCATTTCCAATTTGAGCCTGATGTCTGTGTAAAATGGAGTAATAATATTTCAGAGGCTAGTTTAGGGGTGATAGATGAGATAGTGGCCTAAACAAATGGATGTGAAACCCCAAGAAATCATTATTACCATTGCAACTAAGGGAGTGCAAACATAGTGGAACCTGATTTAATATCTCAAATAGTCCAGCACTCAAAAATAGGCTGCTAACACATAGGCTGTCAGGGTGTTGTCTTGTGGTGCATACTCAGGATGACTATTGCTGTGAACTAAGCAACACAGATTCCATGTTCTGAAGACAAACAAACACAAGGGATTGTGTCTTTGTTCATATATACAAAGAAAATTGGCACTAGAACTGGATG